TGCTTCACTAGTTCCGGTTTACAAGTCTCACTCTGGTGAAACCTGTGAACTCTTGTGAAGCTGGAGCAAGCTCGTCAAGCCATCATGGTAAAACCTGTCAACTCGAGAAGAGGCTGTCTAGATGGGTCGACACGTCGATGGGAAGTAGCAAAGTGCAAAATGCCCCCTCCGTTGCCGAACTGCCCCCCCCCCCGAACTGGGGCAAAAATCATTGACTGTGTTGAAAACTCGAACAGGTGAGACATATTGAGGGAGGCCGAAAGCAAAGAATTAGCTCAAGTTCCGTTTTGCACGTAGGCTTATTGCTAGACAAAACCACAGCAAAAGTTCTCTCTCTCCTCGCTCAGGTAAACCGCTTGTAGACTTACAGGTTTGACGGCGCAACGTGAAAAGTAATGCGGAGAGAAATGCTCGGCGGTGAAAGGTCATTTTGCGATAGTTGGAAAAGCCGGTCCGAGCATATGGGGCACGTCGAGGACACTAGTGAGGCAAGAGAGAAGCTACCCATATAGTAAAGGTTTAGGGTTGGTTTCATTCAACAGTTGAAAAACTAGAGGATCATCTAGTGATGTGGTAAGGGTCGGTTATTAGGTCGGGAAACTTTGGGTTAGCGCTAACATTTCCAGGGGTCAATTTTTAATAGCAAAACTAGCGCTTATAACCTTGAAGGTCCCACGATTCAGAACAAGAACTTCGACTTTGTAGGACAGTTTCATCTTCAAAGTGAGCAACAGTGGTTAACGCTCATCGAGTAGAACGACCCACTGACGAATCACTTACTCCGGAGTTCCTGCACGCTTTACGCTGGAGCGAAATTCCTCACGTACATCACGGTAATTCCATCACCTGTGAATGCCACCATCAAGGTTGTTGAATGTGGAAAACGCTTTCTCATTCATGATGAGCCTTACCCATGAATCATCGGATAGGGCTGGATACAAGGAATCGTTTGGTATGTTAAATGTTCGCGCATAGATTTGGCTCTCTTAGTCCAAGTATGCAAGCCTTTCTAACTCGACGATTTCTTCTCAAGCATTTGGTCCGATGCGTCAATACGGTCTAAAATGCTAGCAGGCGGCACATAACGTGGGCAAAATTGGAGAAGGAAAAACGAAATGGAACACCAAAACTGCGAAAGCGAAGCCCTGGTTTTAACTGACTCAAAATTGCTATTCGGAACGAGTTCCAGACTAGGCATCTTGCCAAATAATCGCTAATGTAGTAAGCGGGCTGTATGTAGTACTTATATCCATGCAGCACCGCAGCCGCTTCATACCAATCCCTTCGCATGTTTTACTTAGCAAATGAATACGAGCATCAAGCACGGTCGTTCATTTGTGGGGCGGAGGGCGTTCGGATTCGGTATATTGAGCTCGATAGGGCTTATGAAAGGTAGTTCCTTAGAGAATGGATATCGATGCGCTGCTCAGGGTCGCGGAATCCGTCTGCGCTAAGGCGGTATCAATCCTACTCGTCTTAGGATTAATCGTGCCAACTTGTTTATCCACGAGAATAGGCAGAAGTCTCTGATCCAGCTGAACTCGCGCCGCATTCACAAGCTTACCGGACGATTGCCTCTACATGACGAGCCGGTTAGGCCGATATGGGCAAGTGAATGGCGATGCCGCCTCAAACCAGTTAAAAACCTGGTTCCGTCACGATGTGCTGCTGTTAAGCACCACGCTCGCTCTAGAAATTATCGAAAGATCACTGAGTCATGGGCAAACTCTTGACCATCGGCAGGGGGGGGGAGGGGGGGAATTCATGAATTTTTACAGTCGAGGCCTTCAAGACCACGAAGTAAATGTGATACGGATTAGGTGGTCTTTGTGGAGTAACGATAGGATGACGGCTATAACCGTGAAGGTATAAGCTTCGACGCTGCTCCCCTGTACTCAAGGCTTTTGCCTATGTCATAATCCAGAGGGTCACTAAAGCCCTTGATCACGAATTTATCGTTCATTTATTTTTCATTTCGGCGCCGGTGCTACGAGACCTATTCCGCCTCATGATTGCTGCTCCGTGAAGAGGCCCCCATACTCCCGCCAAATTTGTAACAAGATTTGTAGGCAGAATCGGTGATAACTTGGAGCGCCCCGGAGTGGGCGCTATATTGATAGTAAAATAATGGTTGGATAAGAAAGTCGCTGTCAAGTATTTTTGGCAGATAGCCTACAGTTTTGATCTTCGAGCTCGAACATAATTCTAACATGCTAAGGTTGTAGAACATTCTCGAAGCTTTTCCACAAGAGGTATATCAAGGCTCCTGCTCTTCCCTGTGTTTATTTATGATGTCAGTTTCACTGGAGCAGCTTCGAGTGATCATCTTCTATGAGTGGCGCCGCGGCACTGGAGCGACGGCAGCGGCCCGTAACATCAACTGTGCCTTGGGGAGGACACCACCACCGTCAGGACTGTCCACCGTTGGTTCGCTCGCTTCGCGAAAGGAGAGACGATCTTCGAAGGCAAACCTCGTCTGGGACGCCCTCGCGGCGTAGAAGGTTCCACCGTTCTCGAAACTGTCAGAGAGGATCCAGAGGCTACCACGCGCAGTATTGCGACAAGGCTAGGGTGTAGCCATACAACAGCTCTAAGCCGCCTTCAGGCCCTTGGCTACAGAAAAGTCCTCACGCGATGGATACCTCATGCTCTAACAGATGGCACGCGGTATGCCAGGGTGAGCATCTGTCGATCCCTCCTTCTACACCGTAACCGGAAGGAGTTTCTGGAAGATATTGTGACTGGAGATGAAAGCTGGGTCCTCTATGATTCCAACCTACGTCGTGCCATGTGGCTCCTCGAGGAAGAACTCGCCTACGCAACCCAGATGGAACCTGCACTCCAAGAAGGTCCTCCTCCGCTGGCTTCTGGATTCGAAGGAGCAATGCTGCACACGAGCTCTTCCCAAGGCATACGGTTACCTACCGCTACCGTTTACGCCGCCCAACTCCAGAAACTCGCGCAAGCTCTTCGAGAAAAGCGGCCGAGACGAGCTTCGGTGCACCTCCTCCATGATAACGCCAGACCACATGTGGCTAAAGAGACCCACCGCCAAATTGAGGAGCTAGGCTGGGAGACCGTTCCCCATCCACCATATTCTCCAGACCTAGCCCCTCCGACTACTACTTGTTCCGCTCCCTCAAGGCTTTCCTAGGTAAGAAAACCTTCAGCGAATTTGATGGCATCAATCGAGAAGTTGCCTACTTCTTCGACTCGCAGCCTCCTCAGTTCTGGGAGAAGGGGATAGCTGAGTTGCCCATTAGGTGGAGCACTGTAGTGGCTAAACAATGGCGATTATATTATTGATTAGTTTTTATTTCATGTTGAGTTAGAAAATAAAAAAGAAAAAAATCACAACAGTGACAGGACTTTCTTTCCAACCTATACATTATAACACTTTGCTGGTGAGTGCGTTTATATCAAGGTCTGTGAAAAACGTGTGGTTGAGCGCCAGAAAGGCTCCGAAAAAAGGTTACATTTTTTGAATAAGGCACTGAACCTATAGTTTAAAGTAGGCAACAACAAATAACGTTTCTGGTAATAGTAAACGGTCACCTGTGCTGGAAAGGAAACTAATCGGAGACTCCCGCAAATAAAAGTTCAGTTTCGTTGAGTTTCAAGATCGCCGGTCTCACAGGCATGCCGCAAGGTAGAGACCCAGGAGCTTTTGTAAACTTTCTCGAATAAATTACCACAATCAAATAACTAAGTGGACGGCATCAGCAAAAACGATACACCTCGCTCTTACAAAGACGGCATGCGAACTTCGTCGGCATGAGTATTTGGATTAAAATCTAGTCCCAGAACCATGGATCCAGAGGGCCACTTGCCACTCGGGCACCTCACTTTTAAGGTCGAGGCGATCGACCACAATTTAGGTATGTGAAGACTAATTTTTTTCATCCAAACATGCGAAAAGTGAGCAGGAAGCTGCTAGCTCAGAAGGTAACTGTTGGCAATCGTCAACACACTCTTACGTTTCTGGGCAGTGACTTTGAAGGCGTGTCAGGGTGGATGGGTCTGGCAAGGTCAGGCACCAACACGGTTCTTTTGTATTTTTCTTCCGGTAGGCGACAAAACTGTACCATATCGTACGTATCGCACATTTTCCACTAACTGTTGTCGCTTATCCTATTCAATAACTGGTAGAGAACGGGCTGGCGCGTCAACCGGTCTCGCTGATGCGCCCCATCATCCACAGCGAACAATACTGTACTTCGCGATTCAAGCTGATCATGCTCGGATCGCGCGACTGCGACTGACCATGCTCCATCGATAATCGTTGGAACAACTTACAGTTTAATGGCAGTCAGTATAAAAGTTATTGAAGTTTGATGAGGTCCAACGATAAACGGAGGAGCACAACAAGCTGCTTGACTCAATTGCTCAAGTGTCGAATAGTGAACGAGGCCCTCTACGCATAGCCACCAGAGCACTCAGTCCCTGGCGTTGGTGATAGCTTCTGCTCAATCGACCCCCCTCTCCCTGGCTGGCTTTTTCCTTCAGTTTGTCCTCCGCTTCCACAACCGACTGGCCACAATACCAATTTCCTGAAAGCTAGCGAAGCAAACACCACCAATCAACCGTGAAAAATAGCAGTCCGGCAATAACTGATTGAGAATAAGCGTAAGTTTCTAAATTTCCCTTGACCTCCGTAATAAGGCAGAATAGTTGCCGTGATTTCAAATTTCTTGGGTGAACTGCCTGGGTGAACAATGAAATGCCCCCCCCCCTCTGGCAATGGCACAATTTTCGTTTTCTTTAGTGCTTTTCCGGCTAAGAAAAGCATTTTTTCTGAATCACTGACAGACTAAGTGCTCGTCTTTGAGAACAATAAGGCGGAAATTTAGCCGGAGCTGTTTTATAGAGGATCCGAATTCTTGCATACAGACAGAGGCATGGCATAATCTATTTTACTCCAGAGTTGGCTAAACATTTGCAATAAAAACAACAAATACAATTCACTATAAAAATAAAGCAATGCATTCTAGAATACTGGCTTAAAGCAAGGCTAAGAGAGTCATGAACAAGATAAGAGCAAGAAAGGGAAGTAGAAGGCAACAGCTGGTTAAGTGGGGCAAATCTGAGAGCGGTGGAGTTACATCTGACTCCAGATCAGTTCTCGATGCAGGCGCCGAAGTTCTGTCGTGGCAATACTCTTGCCTCTTGTTCGCTTCTTCGATCCTTCTTCGAATTTTCTCACTGCGTTCCGGCAACTCACAAAGCGCCGAATGATGACCCCTCCTCCTGCAGTGGTAACATTTCAGGTCGTATTTCTTGCATGCTCGGTCTTTGGTGCAATGGCGCTCCAGACAATACTCGCACCTGGCGTAGGTTATCACCAGATCTCGGCGCTCCTTCACACTCCTCACCCTTGCGCAGGCGTCAGAATAATGGTGAGCCACAACTCCGCAGAAGGCGCAACGAACTTTCGCAGCTATTTCTCTAGGTACCCCACTGATGTACCTTCTCGGAGGGCACAGGGGCTCTTCTTTGAGCTGTCTGATGATCTCGTCAAAGCGGCGGAGTGCCTGCTCTTCTTTTCGAATCTCTGCGGTTATTCTGCGCCCTTGATCATCTGAGGATTTGTTTCTCATGTTCGGTTTTATATCGGTGTCTGGTTCTTCCTCATGTTCACCTTCCTCAAGATCATCTTCTGGGTGAGCCACCTGCCCCCTTTCCCTCTCCTTGGCGTCATTCTCTGAGTCGTCGTCGGTTCCACTTTCGTCACCTTCATCGCGATCTCCCGGGCTCTCTTTCATCCCATTTTCGCTCTCCTCACCGCGATCCTCTGGGTCATATTCTGACCCATGTTCATCATCTTCCGGCGAAGTATGTCTATTTTCATGATTACTATCCGAGTCATATTCCTCGTCTTCTACCAGCTCAGGAAGCTCCTTACCCTGTTCGCCATCTGCATCCATTTCTTCGTTTGAAGGGTTCAAAAGCTTGCTTTGCGCATCCTCTTCTTCCGGTTTTACGTGTACGACTTTCTCGTTTGGCTGTTGGTACTGCATTGATACAGAAACCTGTCCCTCCGTTGGATGGGGTTCTTGTTGGAGACCCAGCCTTTGCAGGATTTGATCCCGTGACTCAACGATGATCCGTTCCATACGTGCCAACCGGTTCAGCACCTCTTCCTCGAACGAAATCCTATCTTGCCTTTCTTCATACTTGTATGACCTGCGCAAATCCCTTACTGCCGCTTGGATCTTGACGATATTGTGGAACTGATCGTTCGTAATATCCTCGATGGTGCTCAGCTTTACCACAAGCGGCTCGTCGGTGCTCGTCTTGTGGGGTGCATTCATCAGAGCTGACCATTCCTCGTCGGTCGCGCGCTTTGTTGCCAGTAAAATGGCAGAGAGATCAAATAAAGTCCGTAACTGAGTGACCAAGGAAAGCAAGCGCAGAAGAAAATGATCAGATTTCAACTCGAGATATTCAGCTTCATGAATTCGAGAAATCAACGGTTCACGAGAAATACGAAGTTGTTTAACGCGATTTTCTAACGTTCTGACAGATTGGGTACAGTCATGAAAATCAAGGCAATGTTGAACGATTTCGTCATGAAGCTCGATTGCCGATGGAAGTGGTGGTAGCGCTTGCTTGAGGTCTTGAAGTTCTTGCCTGGCTGCCCGAAGTTGCCTTTCAAGGTCCATTTTCTGAAATAGAACATGATTTTTTACTGTATCGAATAAACATGCAATATTTTAGCATAAATAAGAGAAGCTGATGAAGCTCAGCGCCAGACTACCAGACCCTTTGGAATGCTCCATGTATTCCACTTCCGTCCAGCATTCAGGCAAAATTTGGAATCAGCTGATCAGCTAATTAGGTAAGCGTTTTTCATCCACTAGGAGGCTTTTGGCGCTGTTCGGCTTAGAGAGGGGGGGGGGGCTTTTGCAAAATCTTTTTGATAGTTGATGCTAACTAACAGGTTTTACTTGGAGAGACCTGAAATCTATTACGAAGCTGCGAAGTGGTGCAGGTGGATCACTTTGGCCACAGGAATTTACAGGACCTGTACTAGCTTAGCTGAACACCATCTGGTACCCCCACCAAGCCAAACTGTGCCAGGTTTTCTCATCTTCCATTTATAGGTTGTGGCATGGCGGGAGTGGATCAGAAGCCCAGTCGGTCACGCAAAGTGAGGTGCCTCCGAGCTTGCGGAGCGGACCAACCGTACAACGAAGAGTTATACAGGTGAATCGCGCAATAGCAAAATAGTCAAGGGCTAGTCAGTCCACGCAGGGTTGTGTTACCCCTACCGTCATATGTGACTTGTTAGAAGCCCGATGACAAGCGCTAGGACGACTTTCTGTCATGGAATTCAACAGCGCGAGGCTGTGCCCAATCAAGCGCCCAATGTACTTTTTCTACTGGTGTTCGTGCAAGCGCTTTTTGTTCCTTTGGAAACGAATCGATCAATTAGTGAATCATGGCTGTCGATTTTGAAAGAGCTTCATGATCGTTTGAAAGCGTTGTTAAACCCGAGGACCAGGCAAGGACTACTCTCAAATTCATGCTGAAAAATGGAGAAAAAAAATTGACATTTTTATCTGTGCTCATCGAAGATACTCCGTATGCGGTGAGAAGGTAACCTTATGCACGGGTATGGACCAGGGTGAGACCCAAGTGGGAGCCGATCAAAAATCTTGGGTTGGCTCCCATCTGGGTCAACTAAGCCCCCAATCTGTTGCAAGCGAGTTTGTTCTCCGACTAAGGAGCCTAGCCAGGCGGCGGGTGCGAAGTGGCTTGTATATGTGTTTACAAATTGTTATATGGACCACTTCTCATTAAAAAACCTTTTTGGTTCCTAACAGAGCTGGAATGCGTAGTGCATTGATATGTGGTGTATCTTAATGGGTATCCACCAGGGCACATCATTGGTTGGGGACTTTGGTCGAGTCCCTACGGCCACCCTTTTTTGGGGGGTTGGTACGACCCCCCCCTCCGGCCACTCTGTCCCTCCTCATCGAGCTGTCGAGCGGGGGAGGGGGAGTAAATAGCACACATGTTAAATGGGAAAAGACGCGAGAAAAATAGCCCCCCTCTACCAATTCTCAGATTTTCCCCAACTTCCTGCCACTTTTCCAAAATTACCCGAGAATTTCCCTACTTTTTTTTCCAAAAATTTTGCTTTCGAGCGGATGGGGGTGGGGCATATAGTACACATGAAACAGGAAATTCACGAAAAGTCAACCACCTTTCCCAGTAGGCCGGGAACTGAATACGACCTCCCCCCTACCAACAACGAGCAAGCAAGACCCTCCCCCTCCCCTTTACAACGTCCGTGAAGCGAGAAAATCAACTATCAAAATAAATTTTCTCAGCCCAAATACGACCCCCTCTCCTGGCGACCAAATACGACCCCCCTGTTGGGGATTCCCCAACAACGATGTGCTCTGGTATCTACAGGCCTCCGCAGGATACATTAGCAGTAATTGATGATAACCAGCAAAATGCCCCCGCTGAGCTGAGCCGGAAGTAGAGCGCTAACATTCGAAGCATCTATCAAAAAATTGAAAGAGGAAACAGCCATGCGCGCCTCATCCTTAGGCAATAAGCTCCGTCAGTGGAAGTTAAGTTGGTAAAGCTCACCGCTTTGAAGGTGTCGATTCGAGTGCTGCACTTGTGATGGGCCACAAATAATGTGTATTGTATTTTATAGAAGCTTCTCGAGTGCTGAGTGGGATTCCTTGCCAACAAGTAGGTTTGTTGCGAGGAAGACAAC